GGGAAGAAACATGTTTCTGTGTTTGAGTGACAGTGCAGATGTCACTCGCAGCCTGCAAATTCTCACCAGCGCCAGGTCTCATTCCTCAGAGCTCACCTTATCTGTGCCCGGCCGACGTTTCCTGACCCCATTAACTCGCTTATACAACCGCACGTGGAAATCCCTACAACTCGAGACTACCACAACCACTGTACAGTATTTCTGGACATGATAAGAGACAATTAGGGTTTATGCTGCCGGCACCGTCTGAAAGGTTGTAAAGGACAGTGAAATATATATATTTTGATTACCCAGATGTAATGGCAAAGAGGGAGGCTGCTCTTATGAGACATGAATGAAGCCTGAAGGTGGAAAGTACCAGTGCAATAACGAGATGTTTCTTCCTTACCACCATGTATCATTTTCGCACCTGTATGTGCCATCCTGATTAATTAAGGAAAATCTGTGAGGAGTTCTATTATAATTAACTATGGGATGCACACTTCTGTATTTTCCACTTTCCATCTACAATACCATCCTATTTTCCCCCACACATTTTTTGGATGTTAAAATCTCCTGAATAAACTTTGGCTTTGGATATTCAGAAAGGCTGCAGAGAAAATCAGTTCAGCGGATAACTGAGATAGCATCGGGACTGCAGCGTTCTGTAGAAACCTGAGTGTGATGCGATGTGAAAGAAAGACAGAACCAAGGTTTGGATAAGACAGCATTTCAGACTAAAGGAATTCAGATAAACAGGATTTTAACTGACCTTAACATTCAGAGGCATGGAATATATCCCCCTGCGGATCGCTTCCTATTTAATCCCACTGTAACACCTGAAAGGTTAACGAAACACACACTGCCACAATTAACTTGAAGCACATTGCCTCGTTGCAGGGAGGAGATGAGCTTGCTGTGACCATCAGCTGGGCCTGTGGCTCTCCATGCTGTAACCTGTCTGTGCTTGGGATGTCTGACTGCGACAACGGCCGCGCTCGGCTCTCGGAGACGTGATGAGAAATGGCTGTGCCTGGCGTCCCAGCGAGCCCTGCTAACCCGGCACACGTCAAGCACCAAGGGAGCACCTCCAGAAATCAGAGGCCTGGTCAGCAGCTACGACCAATTTAATTATTGAGGGTTGTATTGAGTGAACCAATTAAAGTCCACGTAGTAATAACCAGTTGGTAGGGGTGAGGAAGCCATTTCTGGTACCAAACGTGCTGCCAGCAGCCACTTTGAGGAGAGAGGACCAAGCTGATGGGGTTTGCAGCTTGGCTTGCAAAACCCCATCAGCTGGAGCTGTGATTTCCAGAGCCATGCAGCATTACACCTAACACAGAAACGTTGACCTCCCCATGTTCTCCCAAGCTTCTGACTCACCCAGCAAGGCTACCAGGGCAGCCGGTCCTTTTCTGTCCAGTTTTGGTTACTAGGTAAGAGGAGCCTAATTGAAATATATGATCTTATCACCGTCACTGAGGATCCAAGAGAGGAGGTTGCACCTGAGTGAGGTGATCCTGATGTCTGCTACTCTAGGACCTGTTCGTTGCAAAGGACTTCCAGGCCACGCTGCACCACACAGCTGTTCTGCGCTTCCATTCCCTCTGCAGATGCAGTGTGTGCAAAACCCCTAATTAACCAAATGCAATTAGCACCGAAGCACTCAATTTTCAAGCCTTTTCATTTTAACCTGAATGTACACAAAATAACACCTCTTCCACAAACGACTGCTATGCTGGGAGCTTTAAGGTATCTGCACACACATACACACATAGAGCTGCAAGCACAGAAGCAGGATGTATCTAAGAGGCATGGCAGATCTGAAGTAAGAGAGACCCTTATTAAACTGCAGAAAACAATCAGTCTAATCGGTCAAGACTTGATCCTGCTGGGGGCTACATTTAACTAGCAATAGATGTGAATACATCTTCTTTTGATTTCGATTTATATATGTGAGGTTATGTGTATGCAGCACTGGTGCAAGCTGGAGAACTCCGTTCAGTGCAAGGCTGAGCCCTTGTTATTGCATCTGACATTTCCTTCACGTGAAGGAAAATTCAGCTCTGCATCACGTCTGCAGGTCACAGCTCCAATTTTGGTCCATTTGAACAAGTTCCTTATACCCCACGAGCGCCTTTTGCCAGTGTGGTTTTGGTCTTTTACGTACAAATGCCGTGCTATCTAAAAAACTGTTTGTGATACAGTGCCTGAGTATCTGGTTGGGTCATTTTCAGCAAGAACGACAGGGCACAACCACCTTTAGATCTGCTCTAAGTTCTGCCTTTGGTTGCACTCGTGCAATTCCACAGTGAACTTAATGGAAACTGTACGTACGTGTCTCAAAGCAGCTTGTTGCCAGTGTGCTTATTTATGCAGACTGCTGCTTTGTGACCTCCAGGCTGCTATGTGGGAATCTCTTCATCATTTTCTCCTCTTCCAGGTACACTCAGCTCCTGAAAATTACCTTTCCCCAGCTGGTACACAAGGAAGGGCACTGTCCTGAATAACAGTCTTGATGGGTGGCAGTCATAACACAATAAAAGGACGGCAGACTGCCATTAACTTACGTTGTACGCTACTCTTTACAGGCCTTTTTTCTTCTTTTTCCCAGTCCTCCTGCATGCTCCTACCATCTACCAGTCTCTGAAGGTTTCTGTCAGTAGTATCACGAAAGAAATGGGCTCAATCTTCCCCTTGATCTTTACAGGGAACACTAACATCAAGAGGGAGTCCCACGTGTGGGATGAACATACAGAATATGCTGTTTCAGATGAAGTTTTGTGGCTATTAGGATCAGAAAGCCAAGCGAATTCTCTGTCTGGTGTTAGTGGGCAAGAAAAACTTCAGATGTTCCATGATCCTGAACTTTTCTGATCTTTTTCAGGCCATGTCTAATTAGTACCAAACTCAGAAAGCAAAAATTCAAACCTAAATTATTTATCATGTCGTATTTATGAAATGCACTGCAATACACATCATGGCCCAGTTCATAACAACTCCAGAGAAGATTAATCTTTCCCTGATGCCATACTCCTTAGTAGGAAAATATAATTATCTAGCTGAAGAGTTTCTTAAATTACACACTTCCAAACTAGCACGAGCAGAATTTATCCCTGTGTCTGGTGCTAATCCAAGTGGAAAAAGCATTGGAAGCAGAATTGACCAAACACGCGTTGACTCTGTCTATCAACATTTCCAGTGCACACCTTACATGGCCCTGTCAACATCTCAACCTCAACCCGGTCTCAAACACTAACACAGTATTTTCCTCCCTAAAATGTGCTCCTGAAGAAGGGAGTTCCAGATACAATGAAGGATAAAGTGCTTCGTTTGCAGTAAACCCCAAGTTAATAAACATTTATCTTGCCTAACGTGGACATCAAAAGAAGGAGGAGACCACAGAAATTGCTCTTACCTTTACTTGGAGTAATGTGTACCTGCACTTGAGGTACATTTACAGACGTGCATGGGTGTAAGTACAGAGTATCTGCTGCAAATGCCTTTGAAAAAAGGCCACGCTTTTAGTCCGCATTGTCTACAAAGCACTTTCCTCTGGAATGCTACATCCAGAAAGACACGTAATAAACTTTCAGACTAAGTGTGTACAAGTGTCTCTCTTTAATTTACCATACTTTTAAAAACCATTTTCTCCCTTGAAGAAACTCATGATGACTACGGGAAAGCCCAGCAATTGTTTCTCCGCTGATGACCAATAATGCACAGTAGGGTTTTAAAGCCTGACTGATGGATATATTGGTGGTAAAGAGGCTCAGAGAAAGATGAATGCAGTCCAGTGAGTGAAGAATGCAAGCTGGAGGAGGGGATATTAGTGAGCTTAGAAAATGAATTTTCTTGCGGGAAAAATGCCCAGCGTCTTTGAAAGCAGCTTTGTTGTGAGCAGCGTATAAAACCTCCTACTTCTGCATCTTCTTTAATTCTTAAGTTGGATGTTCTAGGTATAATTTCACTGCTTTTTCTTCATGCTTTCAGGTGAGCTGCTGCGGTGCCATTGTCTCCACTAGAACAGAAGGCATGCAATGGTATAAAGCATAAAGGAAGGGGTAAGGTGACAGTATCCCAAACGCTGGCTGCCTGATCAGCCTCTGCCTTGCTCCACGCATTCTCCCAACTTGGACTTCTTTGAAAAACAATTAAATTTTCCAAACGAATTGCTGTTAAGAGAAATGCATTTTGATTGGCAGTGCCGCTGGTGGTTCTGCAGTTACGGGCAAGAGTGTAAGTTTATTTCCCTCCAGGGCCTCTACAGCGAGCTGAGGGAGATTAACCAGTATTTTAGGCAGCTAAGTGTGAAATACTGCTTGGGCCAATAACTCGCTCCCCACTGCTGCTGTGTTTGCTGTCAAAAGCTGGCAGAGAGACGTATCCGTACGGAGTCAAGTGCGGGTCTGAGATCTCCAGCTTGGACTCCCTGACTTCACTCAATATTCCTCTCTGCCTCTGTGTAATCATGAGAAATTTTGTCAAATTAGCATTAATTTGCTCCCTGTAACTACCCTTCTGTGTGATAAGCAGCATGGGAAAAGTATAAAGACAAGGTTTAGTGACAAAACTGGGTTCTGTATGATGGAGCAGCTCTTAGCATTCAGAAAACACCTCCTGGCATCCCTAGGTCTGACGGTCCTGGGATTCACTGTGCCACACCTGCACCCCCGTGGAAAGGGCCATTCAAGGAGAAAAATGCTGCAGGATTTCCAGATGATCTGCATTCCTCCTGAGGGTTCGTTTTACAGAAGGTTAACATCTGGCTCCAAGTTTGGAGCCATCTTCAACCCATCTGAATACAAATCCAATGAATGCCAATTACTGTCACCTCATGAGCGATTTAAATAGGGGTAAGTTCAGCTGATGTTGTCTCAATCTATTATTTAAAAGTTTTCAGTCACAAGTCCAGTGCTATAACTGATGCAATAGCAAAGTAAAACAACACACCAAAACCCCCCAAAACCCCCCAAAACCCAAAACCCCAAAAAAGTTTACAAGGTAATTGCTAATTTTACCTGTCCAGCCCGCAAGACAGCAGCAGTACCCGGTGACAGGATCGCACCCATCTGCATGGCTACAGTCACAGCGTTCACTGCAATTAAGACCATATGTTCCATCCTTCCAAAAATATAAATAAAAAAGCCTCTCAGTAATCAGTTTTTTGTTCTAAAATGTGCAAAATCATCTATCATGTCCCTCTTAATGCTGAGTCGCATTTTTTTAAATTAACATACAGACAAGAGAGAAACAACTCAGTGCCTAACATTTCTATACAGAACCAAATGAGAAATCACTTTAAAAAATGATGTTCAAGAAAATGTGGATAACACGGCAATAGCTCTGATAAAATATAATGCAAAGTATAATACATCTGCTTGACTGATAGAACCCCAGTCTGTTATTTACACATCATTTCCTTCAGCTATCCATAGACAAGATGAGATGCTGACCCACTGTAGATTTAGAAGAGCTGTGTGGACTGTGGTTTTAAAGCCCATCCCAGTTGTACTCACAGGACACGGCTGGTCGCAGTACTCCCCTTGCCATCCTGGTGAGCAAAGGCAAAAGCCATCAGCCGGCCTGCAGGCTGCTCCGTTTGCGCAGTAACACGTCTGGTTACAGTTAAGACCCCAGCTTCCACTCGAGCATGGAATGGAGCAGTCCACTCCTTGCCACCCTGAAGAAACATAGGAGAGAAACAGCATTTGGGATGTTTTCATGAAAGCAAGGTAGAGACAGCAAGAGAGGCAGCTTGTAAGCTTTTTGATTCCAGGACCAGTTTCCTCCTGATCTTGGCGTCAACTGAAACTATCTTTTGGTCAAAGATTGGCCCTTTAATTATAACCTCTCAACTTCATCTACCAGCATCCATATGTACAGAAGGGTGGTGTAGGTATCACTGTGTTGGCTGTTTATGAGATTAAGCTGCTCGGGCAGCAAAGGCCAGTGCAGCACAGTCTGGCAGGCTGGAGACCTGCTGATCAGCAAGAAAGCAAGAAGCTCACCATTTAACGCTGCCCGTTTCTTCCCTCATATGTTTTTGAGAATGCTCTTTAATATAAAGAAGCTATTACACCTAAAAAAAAGACCAAGGCCATCATTTCTAACCATTAAGGCTCAAATCTTAACTACTAGCCGCACAATGGCTTTCATTACACTGCAGCTGTATGTAATGGAGTGGAGCAGTAACTCATGGTTTATACACCCTCATTAAATGGGGTTCTACAGTGATCCATTAATTCATGTTTGAAATGCCAGATTTTATTGTTATTTGCCTCACTTCTGGCTTAGGGCTTAGGTATGTCATACAGTCATAGCTCATGTTGGTGCTGCTACACGGGAACATGAGGGACACTGTGCTATGGAGCGGTACAAGATTTCTGGAGTGATTCCTGGATACATGAGCTATGCTCACTACCAGGCACAAGAGGGAATTACGGACACACGTGGAGAAAGATAAGAGGTATATTCTTGCAGAGACACTCCGGAGCAGGGAAGATTTCTTGTTTTCCCATATAAAAGACAGCCAGATCCTGCAGCCCTGTACTGGCTTAGGGGACAGAAGATACCTGCTGGGGTGTCAGTGTCAGAGTACGGCAAAGATGTTTTTGAGCCTTGGAGAAACGGAGCAGCAAAGCGATAAAGGAAAAAAACCCCAACAGCTTGGGGCTTGTTCTGCATTTCCTCTGGAGAGGAGCCGTGGCCCTGCCAGCACACTCAGTTCTGTGACCTGTTCTTGCAGCAGAGCAGTTAAGTCTGGCCCCTGTTCAGGGCAGAGACAAAACAGACAGTCAAGCCCCTGTTGAGTCTGGATACTTGGGCAGACTGTTGAATTACCGACAGGCACAAGAAAATAGTGGAGTTACTGACTGCACAGCTGTGCCACTTTAAAAGGGCAGAAGCAGCGATGCCAAATTGTAGACAATTGTTCAATCTGAATTTTGTTTACCTTCTTTGCAATAGCACAGGCCATCCACAGGGGAACACGCGCCATCATTTTTGCAATTACAAACTGACGAGCAGTTGGTTCCGTAGGTTCCTGCCACGCAGGTAATGGTGCAGTCGTCTCCCTGCAAACCGAGAAGAAGTCAGAGTCAGCTACAGAAATGTGAATTGCAGGAAATTCCCATCCCTGCACAGGGAGGCTTTCTCTTTTGAAACAGTGAGCAGAGTGTTAGGAGTTGATTGCTGAGGCTTCAGCACTCGAGCAGTCACCGCTGCTTCCCATGATGATGATGCAATTAGCGCTTTGATTGACTTGGAAGAAAGGGACAAATTTCTGGCGTTCATTCAGCAGGCGGTGGGGAAGTTACAAAAACAAACCTCCTAGAACAGATGTTAGATCATTAAGCAAAACATCACTTACGAAACACTAATCACAAAATATACAGTCTGAAACCATGCAAAGGCTTCTCTGCATTTCTTGGATAATATACTCCCAGAATAGGGTTGTTAAAAAGCTAAAGGATCTCGTGCGTGCTCATCTCCCCCAGACTGGCAGAGGGGAAGACTGCATGGCAGGTGCATCACTCCTTTTTGATGCGTAGCTGGTACCTGCATTTGTTTTCAATTACTTTGCATGAGAGTGTGACTTGAAGAACGCTGAACCGGGAGTGATGCGATGGCGGAGAGGAGCCACCCAGACCAAAACACAGAAAGAGGCGGTCTCTGTCCCATTCTGCTTTAGGTGTGGGGAAAGTGAGGAAAAGGAGAGTAAATACTTGTATGTTACAGAAATACAGAGTCTTTAAAGAGTAAATTATGGTAATTATGTAGGCACTGATTAGCTTGTATGGCTGAAAGGAGAGACACGGTTCTTACTAATATTCTTCAACTGATACAACAAGGGAATTAAAACGTGAGCACAATTCCTTTAAATCTACTTACTGAGTCCCAGAGTCAGGTCAACATATATTAGTATATACAGGGTATTTTTGCTCCTTTTTCTTCTGTGTATAGCCCTGACTTTCACATCACAAATTAGCTCCTAACTGTACTTCTTCAGTGAGTCAAACTTCAATAATTTAATTCTATGTCAGAGAAAGCTCTCCTGCTCCAAAGTTAGATAGTAACCACATTGCACAGTGTGACCTATATCACAGCTCAGGAGAAAAGATACTGGTCAAAATGTGTTTTTGCAGGTGAGAGGCTTCACTGTTTGATAGGAAGATTCATTTATCAGGTGATAAATGCACAAAATGTCAACTTCCCTATGCCATGGCAAGTACCTCCAGGAGCCTGTATATCACAGCACCAGACACTGAGACAGTACAGGGAAATATGAACAGATTTCTGAGCGCCATAAACCCCCAGATGCTTGCTGTAGCAGTTCTGCCTAGCACCAGTATGACTCATCCTATTTTATCCAAAAAACTTTGGTTTAGGGGGAAGTAAAAGAAACGGTTAAAATATGTGGCGTTTCAGAAGTAAATCCTATGAGTCTGTGGGTTTTGAGTGACAGTGCTGTTTGTAAAAGATGCTATCGGTGACCTTGGTGGAGTAAAACAAGTTCCCCTGAAAAGGCCTGGCAGTAAAAGGTGCCGTCCTGCCAGCCAGAAACTCCAGGGCCGGCTGCCCCTCATTACCCTGCCAGCACGCCCACAAAACGAGCTGCAGGAACCCCGAGCCGAGCGGGATGGCAGAGGGGCATTCAGCCTCCACGCCTAATCAATCCTCTGCCTCGCTCCTGCGTGTGACAATTAGACAGCCAATTAGTGCCACTTAGGAAGCCCTATCTTGTGTGAGTGAAACTCCCAACTCATTTCGTGTACGGCACAGAACTGCTGGTACTGCTAATAATTTCTATGACAACTGACCTTATCTGGATTTGAACTAGTGATCTAGAAGTAAAAGAAAATTCCTTTGAAAAGGCAATTAGAGCAGAGTGATGAGGAGCTAAAACATCCCCTTGGGAACCAGACTGACTAAACCTGCATCTGAGCCACGGGTGGATGCAGGAGGAGGATTTCCAGCTCCTCAGCTGATCCTCGTGTGATGCTGGAAGTCCTCCCTGGCCATGCGCACAATACGCTGCTGCGGATTTATCGGTTTGCCATAGACTTCCTCTGCGTGGAGGGCAGACACAGACACCTCGCGTATCCCAAAGCCAAGGTACTGCACACAAGCTAAGCATCAGGATGTTTCATCCTTATTAAACACGCCTTTTGCTTTTGGCATTTCCTTTAATATACTGTACTTTATGGACTAACAGGGGTTGATCAACCTGGCTGTCCACCTTACAGGCACTTACTCTGCAAACAAACCTTAACTGAAAAAAAGAAGGGGCTTAATGAGATTTCTACCCCTGGTTTGACTAGCGAGACCTTCAGAGCTCTGAGTGACAACTGCCAAAGACACTTAACTTCTTAATTACATAAGAGGAAAACGCACTTGAACTATAGCACTGGCTCTAAGATTTTATTAATTATAAATGCACACCCCGTTATTAACATTTTGAACTTGATTTGGGAGAATGACCTATGAAATGAAATGCATTCAGGTACCATTAAAGATATGTAAATTCCACCTCCCTCTCGCCACCTGCCCAAGTGAATAACGCCGCGGTACAGTCGATCCAGTTGTTAATGAGTTATATATTCTGTTAAACTGATTTCAAGTCTTGTGCATTGAATCTTCACTCTTGCAATATGGCACTTTATATTTCTATCCTATTTAGTAAAATTAATCAACAGCTGTGCTCCTTATGTTGATTATTCTTTTTTCTATTAAGATAGGAAGGTTAATGAGAGTAGTGAAATGCCTGGATGTGGTATACATGATAGGAAGGAGTAACTAATTCAATCAAACATATACCCCTGAAAATGTTAAAGCTATATTAAATAATCTAGCTATAAATAACTTGGTATTTTACATCTCTGTTTTCCAAGTCAGAATGATCCATATGGACATCACAAGCTTTCAGAAGGGCTTAATTTTCCTCAACATTTTCACCTAGAAGACCCAGCTTATCAAAATACACCCCTGAAATCCATCCAATGTATTATTTACAACTTTCAGGGGTCAAATCTGAAAACGTAACATAATACATGGAAAAACTCTCTTTACTGCATGTGGGATTGGGGCCAGCTCCAGCAAATGCCCCTCTCCGTGTGTGGGGCAGCGTGTTCCTGTGAGATGGCACCTTGGTGCAACCCAGGACAGGGTGTCCCACATCTCCACACAGAAAGATAACAAAAGTGAACCCTTTTTTGGTTTGAAATCCAAATCTGATGGGAGAATCCCAACACAGCAAAGACACAGGTGGGGGATCTGCGATCCCTGGCACCCTGAAAAGTCAGCTTTAAATCCAAATGAATGGTTATGATAATGCAACTGACACCACCTGTATGATATTCCATACCATTAATTACTTCAAAATTACTAATTATTGCTGAAATTATATGACAGACCTTTCTCTCACCACAAGAGGTTTGGGCATACAGTTCTTGGTATTGTTAATTCTCCCCTATGCATTGAGGGTTAGGTCCAAGGAACCAAACTCCATTAATAACTCAGGCTGCCAGCTCACATCCATCAGCATCAAATATTAATAGACTCACGAGGGCCAGAGCATACATCTTTCCGGATGGCAGTCAATAATATGTCTTGTTTCTGTTCAGGGAGAGGGGAAGATTTCCTTCCACAAAAATTATTATTGTATAATATTAGTAGAGCTTAAAGACACACTGCTGCCGTAGGTGTTAGCTGTGTTAACAAGCTCTGGACACTTCAGAAAGTGTTTTCCCTGGATTAATATTGCCCTAACAGATTAGATCTCTTGTTTCTGTTATAAAATACATCCCTGCTGTAAGCAATGACCAACTCCCTTTAAAATTCTTTTCCGGTGTTCAATATAATGTTTGTATTTATTCCTGTACATTTTGGATCAGGCCTTCAAATCCCTGAGGCAAATTTTCAAAGGGAAAAGAAAAGGTATCGCAGACCATAAGAGAGTTAAAAACCCAGCGGTGGTCAACAACACCTGGCAAAGCTTGCACCCATATCTAGTCCATCTCAAAAGTTTTACTATGTAAGGACGTGAAATTAAGAATTTCTGAAGTAGCTACTATCTCCAGGAATACATCTACCTTGTAGGGCTAAAGCCCGGTTCCACTGAAGTCAGTGGCAAAACAGAAAAATCAATTTTTCAATGCCTCTGCAATGCAGAAGCCTCAGAGGGTCGTTACTGAACTTGGCCTCAAGTTTGCATGATAAAAACTTATGTGACAGGTTTGTTTGAGTGTTCTTGAGGTTTAATCTGTCAAGGTGCTGAAAATCCTCAGCTCCTGCACAGATTCTTAGGGGAGACTGACAACACTGAAAGTCAACACATTGGAACCCTTGGTAATCTGTAATGTGACTCCCAACTAATCCGAGATTTTTCACAGGGATCTGATTTCCTCCCTGTTCCCCTCCTCGCCTTTTTTTTGGTGCCACATGAATTAGAGGTGCAACACCTGGCAGCAGCCCTGGGGATGCTCGACGCTGGGTTCTCAGAGCTCACGGTGCAGGCACAAGATAGAAAGAAGAGCCCGGTGCAGTGCCATATGTATGGAGTGATAAACAGATCAGGAAGACAAAATGCAGCTGCTGTTTGTACCTCCTGCCTGCGAGTCCAGATAAGCTGATCGGAATGGATTTAGTACATAAAAGTATGTATTTGTATGTACACACATTACGTGGCACACCAGTGCGCGGGTACACAGTGTCTGTGCGCTGACGCAGATCACACGTACAGTTCTGTATATTTACTTAGTTAATTGTGACATTTACTATTAACCCAGAGTGGTTCTCCGCAAACATTCCCTCAAGGTAAACATATGGTATCCAGCAACACAAACTGTCAGAAGAAACTAATTTCCCTAATGGTGTTCCAGCAGAAATTGATGTGCTCTTCATATGTGAATCAGCAGCAGTAGGAAACTTTGTACTTTTACCGGTCTTCTCCTCAACCCTAGACTCGTGCAATTTATTCGTGACCTTACTATGCAGCATCTTTAGTTTTCCAGACATAATGATGTCCTCTGGCAGAATTCCTTTCCCCTCTGGGTGCTACTAATTACTCCCTGCA